AGCTCACTTATATGCCTGGGAAACCACGGGTCTAATGGGTTGATGAATGGCAATCATTTATAGCTCAACAAAATGTTTATGCAATTCATAATTAAAACCAAATGCGCGGCACAAGTATGCGATTGAGCGGATATGCCTACCCTTAACGCTGATGTGTTTCTCCCTGAGTAGAGTCACGTCAGCCAAACTGTTTTGACGCATCGATTTCATGAGATTCAAGAGACCATTGCTCGAGATCTTCAGACTCACGAACAGATCCACTGACGGAGTCTTTGTATCCACACTCTTGCGACTCTCCAAGTGCTCGATATTGCCTTTGCATCCCTTTCCCACCGTATGTTAGCACAGGTTTGGCACCATTAGACGACTTATATTAGATAACTTCATCTCTTATACTCATTATTCAATCAATCAATACCTCTATTATTCGTATGATTTTCGGTAAACTCCCGAAACCTCCCTCTTTGAGACCGACCAATATGTTGGATGTCTTCGGGATCAATGAGTTGTCTTCAGCGAACTCGTTCACCACAATGACCTGACAAATGAGTTTCCATTTTAAACAAAATCTTAACTTTCTGTGAATTATATATGATTTAAAAAGTGATGTCTAAAACAAATAAATAATTTCTCAAAAAATAATGTGTCGATAGAAGTGGTAAACCTCTTCCTCCGACAACTCATTGTCCTCTGAGATGTCTCGGCTCTCCTGAAGCCAATTGAGTTTCGCCTCACGATTCTTGACGGTCTCGAACTTGGCGTCGCCTACCAGTGACCGTCGACGGGATGGGTAGCCGTGCTATCAATCGGAAACACATTTGTTTTTATTTCATGTAACTTAAGAGCAAGAAATTTAAAAATAAATAAATAATTTGATTGCAGCGATAAATTCTAGTGTATTGTATATGAAAATAAAGCTTTTTAATTTAGTAAAACGCTTGTAGTAATAATGATAGCAATCTCATAAACAGTGAATGAAATAGCGGTCATTAATAGCTGCTTTTCAGTGGAGACTAACGTTTCTTTGATATCATTTATAACTGTTTGCTTCAGATTCACTGTTCACTCATTCGCACCAAATTATCCCTTTTAGCCACAGACCACCTGTTTTGGACATTAAATATATGGTGTGTGTGTGTGTGTGTGTGTGAGCGAGAGAGAGAGAGAGAGAGAGAGAGAGAGAGAAGAGGCTATTAGTCGTAAGTCGATTGTAATTAAATTCAAGAATTAAAAAACAAAAATATCAATCAGTGATGAAAATACCAGAATATTATCTCTAAAGTGATAACAACCTCTTTCTCTCTCTCTTTCTCTCTCTCTCCCACTCACTTATAGAGAATATTATAATAATAGTATTAATACGAAATCCTTAAATAGAAAATATTTTTCGTTGCATCGCTTGCTTTCAATCACTTAATTACGACATCAAAGCCCTAACGCAACAGTTATTGCAGTTATAGGAGAGAGTGAACTGAACGGCACTTTAATGCCAATCAGTTTTCACATTGCGGTCCACGAAAAAGAGAGAAGCCTTTCCTTCCTTCCCATCCCTTTCCTCTCTCACTCTCTGATCTTTACTCCACTTTTCTCTCTGATGATGAGCTCCACGACTATATCCATCGCTTTCACATAAATAGCAAAGATTTTTCACTCGCTTTTATACACCAATATTTTCGGAGCTTTTCTTTAAAATAGATTCTCATTGATAGTTGTCTTTCAATCCATTGTGTCATTCCGTGTATTGTTAGACTAGATTAGAGTTTTATTGTAGTTATTATAACCGAGTATTGTATGGCAATTGAATGCATTGTATGGATCATCAATATAATCAAAACAGTGTCGTATGAAATTGAATGCAATTTATTTTGAGCTCATAATCCCATTCATTGAGTGTATAATCGATGAGCGGCTAATAAGTAGCTATACACTACTGACCTTAATTTCATATATTTTATATAATCTAATTTTTAAATTTGTTTTCAAGATTAATGACAATAAGTTAATATTTAGTAAAATTTCTTATATACTGTACAATATAATTTAAATAATTTATCACTATACAGTGTACAATATACAGTAGTACAGTATACAGATCTGTATACAAGAATATTGGTATATTTCTCAAAATTGATTGAGAAAATAAGTAGTTGATTAAATAATTATAATCAAACTATATAAACAAAATTGTTTCTTAAAATCTATTTACTAATTAAATCATAATAACTATTTTTAAATTTAAAGCCATAATAAGCTATATCATAATACCTGTTGATCTTAAGTTAATTATTATAAATAAACTCAACTACTTCAAATACTTCTAAGAATCTCAATTATTAATTAAAATTTTAAAATTATAAATAAATTTGAAATGATTATAATTTATAAATAAACTTGATTATAAAATAATAAATAATATACAAATAAATTAAAATTAAGATATATTAATTATTATAATTTCGATAAGAATTTTATTGTATTGTAACTAAATGATCTCGGTTAGAAATTTATACTTGTGGATTTGTTGAGAGTTAAGTTTGGTTAGGTTAGGTTAACTACAATATATCCAAAAGTGAAAAATATAATACTTGTATTATTACGAATAATATTAAATTTTTATAAATAACAGATATTTTTAGTAAACTAAACAATGAAGATTAACTTCAAAAAATAAATTTAGATTGAATTAATTTTTTAATAAAGAATAAATAATTCAAAACAAATAATAAAATGATTTGTACCAAATAATTATTCAAAAAATTATATGTAATGGATATTCTTTAAAAATAAAATATTTTATCGCTATTATCATCATAAACTACGACCTTTTTTACTAACAAATATCACACCTTTGTGAATTAAATTTTAAGATTTTCATCATTATAAACACAAGTTAAATTAATTTGAAACTAAATTATAAGCAATTAATTGATCACTTACTTCAACGCTATAACTTTTAATGGAAAACTTTGCTCTATTGGTCGACGCCATCGAATTCATCACTAAATTCTTTATGAAATCAATTTTGACGGCACTATAAGGCTAACCCTTTTAGCAACCTATAGGATTATCACTTGATATCTGAGCTCCCGATGCGATCGCTATGTCTTATAGCTGTCGCAGAGATCACACACAAAATGAATGTCAAAACTTTTGGGCACAGAATTTTAAGCAATTCTCTACCACACGGAACAGGAATCAGAATTCGCTGATAATTGCCATCTTTTGTATGGAATCCGAAAAGAATTTCACAGAATATTCTGATTCTTACGGTGCAGATGGTGTTAGGCATGTCTTTGGCTGTGATTCTCTCTCTCTCTCTCTCTCCCATATTCTCAGACACCTGTGACTCTCTCTCTCTCTCCCACTCTCTCGCTCTCCCTCTCAATGCAATTGATTGGTCGTAACCCAGCGAAAGGAAAGACATCCCTCGCTATACCCAATCGAAACGTGTGTCTCATATCTTGCTATTCATTTACAATAGTTTTCTCACTTCTCTCTGTGTTTTTCATATCAATTATTCTGTTATTCTGTAAAACAGTTTAATAGCGGTGTATAAACTTGTGTATAACTTATATATAGTTTTTTTGTACACTTCATAATATTCTTTAATAAAATACAGTATCAAAGTGTGTCGAGAAATGGTACACAACAACGGCATACAAATTCATTGCAAATGAAAAACTTATTTTCAAGTGTTGAACAATCAGTTTGAAAGGAATAAAGTAATACTTATTTATGAAAACCGATAAACAACTCATCAAAAAATGTTTCATTTTCTATATAACATGTTAATGGATTTTGTATTGGTTGGGGATATTGTGTGTGAATAGAACTCAACATTTTTAATGAATTCATACTTTTCATGCATAATAGGGAGACTAACTTAACAGCAAAAACCGCTTTTGTCATACATTTTATTAACACTAACTTTTTTCACCAGTAAATGTGTGTTTTGCTAATCAATTATTAATTGTGAACTTACTTTGAGTGCATTGTGTTTGAAATCTAATTAATAATCAATAAAATGGTAAGATTTTAACATAATAATTATTTTTACTTAAATTATTAACAGGATTAAGTATATTATGTAACTATTAATATACATATTTATAATATATTCTTGTATTTATTAATACAGATTTTTGAAAAATGAATCCTATATACAGTAAATTCAAATAAATTTTAAAATCTTTTGTCATTTTAATTTTAAATATAATTTTTGTTGTCTTAAAAATATTTTTACAATTTATTAGAAAATATAAATCCCATTCATTTATGTCAAATCTAGTGCATTGTATGATAGCATTAGAATTTCATATAAAATAATTTATACTCTATAATAGATTCCTAATAGTATATTATATAAGGAGTTATATTAAAGTAGTATAAAATGTAAAACAATTCACTACTAATTAATATATAGTTTAGTTTCTATGCCTAAAGTGACATATCATTAAAGGTCGCAAATTAAATATTATTAAGTTTTAAAATATACATGTAAGTTTTTTTGTTACACAACATTATTCACAGAATTAAGTGACAGAATAAGTCGGGAGACAACAATATTTTAGTTCATTATACTTTATAATTATTTAATGAAATTCAAATGAGAATTATTTATTTTCTATGAAAACAATGTTTTTTCTATAAACTAATTTAAATCCAAAAAAGAGATCTTTTTGTCTATCAATGTATTGCATAAGTCTTTTCACTTGAATGTCACTTCAATGAGTACAGTATTACTAACTATCAGTTTATATATAAATGGAAAGAAACCCATATTTTTAGCTCAAAATCATGTCGTGTTTACCACTATCTCAACGCCAGTCACAATAGATAAGAAAAAGAAAAATTCAATTTTTGTATGTCTTGTGTGTTTGATTTGTGTTAAAAATATTAATTAAATACTCATAAAAATTGTTACAAAACTTATTATTATTATCTTAATATTCTGTGTATTGTCAATACAATACCCGAGTGGGTGTACTTTATGTGACACATGCTGTCATACATTTCCCTCAATACTAGCCCTCAATTCAAAATCAATTCAGTCTTATATAATAATTATTTTATGTCTCAAATGTTATTACTGATAAGATGGACCGAAAATTGATTTATAGTAAACCTATTCACATGATTACTGGTAACCAATATGCCGAGTGATAATTAAGATTTGCTTAAATATGTATTAACAGTAAATCAATTATTTTTAAACACATTTTTTCATTAATTTTATATATTTATAATTTCATTTGAAATATGTTTATAAATCTCTCTCTCTCTCTCTCTCTCTCTCTCTCTCTCCGCCACTAACCATCACATGAATCCTATGCCTCAGAAAATTCTTTTAAATGTCAAACAATTATCTCGTGAGTGAAGTAAGTCTTAACTGTAGTTGAGATACAGTTTTGTTTCCGTAACACAAACAATATTTAATAAGAGATGCAATGCCTGTGAATCTCAAGTGCTTTAAACTTCAAGTGAGGCTCAAGAGTGGCTTAAATCGTCGAAAGCTTTCATTTAAAGATTGCGAATATATACTACTATTTTTGCCTACAATTTTCAATACTCCCTCACAAATCATTTTATTTGTCAAATAGAGACTGAATTATATAATATATATCAATTCTGATGAAACAATTTTCATTTTTATGCAGAATATTATACAAATGGTGTTTATATAAAGATTTGTGTAGAGAATAGTATTTCAGCGGTTATCATGATATTTAACTTTTAAATTATTATAATAGATATGAAACTCAAATCCGAGTAAATATCATATTTTACATAATGTAGTCATTTGTCGTGAAATATACTAATGCTCCCTGAATTTAATGAGAAATAACTTTTTTGGTGAATTATAGTTATGTAAATATTTCATAATAAAAAATAAAGAATCAACTTTTTTGACAAATATTAATATTTGAATAAAAGTTTTCAATACATATTTATTTTAAAAATTTCCAAAATTAAAATAATATGCTTTAACAATTTAAGCCTGTTTACTTATGATTTAAATGTTGACTTATTAAATGTATTTATAGAAATATATGTACTCGGTTAAATAAATATTATTGAATAAATTTTTATTAAAGAATATTCTGTACACCCATTACTACTATTGCGATACAATGTACATACATTTGTATTACAGTAAATCTAAAAGTGAAGGTTAAGTTTTGACAAAAAAATCTAGACTATAGTCAGTTTGTGTGCCGGGTAAATCAAATCATCGCTTAACACAAACTCAATACAATACAAAACTCAATTCAATTTGGAGTTTACTTTTATAGCCATTCCGTAGTGTTTATTATAAATGAGTGCAAAAACTATTGTGTCGATTAAGTGGAGTTCCCACTCCGACACATACACTTCCCTACTAATACTCTCACACTTTATTATGTGATATGAATTCCTTATGTTAAGTGTTAAATACACGATAGTAATGTCGTTACGGGAAAAATCCTATCGACTTAGCGAATGGCAAATAAAATTAAAACCTCGCTTTTAATTACATTTTCATTGCATTTCTCTGAACACACAATTGTAGATAAAATGTTAGTTTGATTTCAATATAATGCTTTTAATAAACTCTTATATTGTCTATTTATTGTTTTTAATAGTGCACTTCTGTGTATATTATATAACTTCTAAATTTTTATTGACATTTGCAGCTATTTATGGGAATAGAAGTGATAATATTGTATTTATTTTATTAAGTCATTGGTGTAAATATAGTAACTTATATCTATAAATCAGAGTCTGATTGCAATTGCAAATTTGATTTTCAACACTAGAAATTCATAAATCTTTTGATTTACAAAAATTATTTTGAGATAAAATCTGAGAGAGAGAGGAGAGAGAGAGAGAGAGAGAGAGAGCACTAAATCTTTAATGGATTCACTTCTTGTTGTGCTTTCAATTCAGTATCTTATAAGACATTTACCATTTACTGACGCTTTTTATTATATATATTTTTATCATTTTATATTATTATATGAATTTTGTGAACCAATATTCCTACAAGAAATACAATAACATTAATACCGATAAAACTAAAAACAAAAATACTAAACAAAATCAAAAATACATCATTTTTAAAATAACTAGTTTTCTCACATTTGCTCCCCTAATGTATTATTTAAGTACCGATTCTTATATTTCGTATAAAAATAATAAAAGTCTAATTCATTTATACTAGATTCATTTTTATTATATCGATATTCTTAAGTTTCATTAAATAAATGTTAAATAAAAAGTATTAGTTGAGCTATTTATAAAGCTATTAAAGATTTTAATATTTAATTAATTAATTGTTAATGGAAATCTCTACGGTATTTTTAAAATGAAACTAAAATTCAAATATAATTTCGTGATATGCTAGCTAAAATTCTCATGAATATTCTGTGTAATAATTATACAAATGAGATATCAGTCACGTTAGTTATTATTATTTGAGTTGATTTCTACTGTCATTTCAATTAGATTTTGTTTTATTTGATAACATGCTATCAAAACGAATCAATTTTTTGTACATTATTTTTAACACTTAATTTTTTTGCATGTTTTTGTTTATACAGTTATAATAAATGCAATTTCTATTCGTAAAATCAGTTACTATAGCAATCTGTTATTCATTACTAGACTAGATTCTTTATTATTATTATTATTCCTATACTAAACACTCACATGCTTTATATTTTATTACCATTTTTCTACACTATATATCAAATACCTATTTACAAGCAAAAAACAGTTAATCAGTTTATAAAAAAATAAATTATTTATAAAATATAACCAAAACATGTGACAATCGCTGGTATACTAGTATTTATAATATTTCTTTAATAGGAAAAATATATATTAAAAATATTTTTAAAAATTAATGTAAACACAGAATTTTAATCATAAATTTATGATTAAATTTTATAAGAAATTTCATTTTGCACTTTAATTTATTAAAATTAAATAGTTGTTTTTTGCTAGAATAATTATTTATAGTTAATAAGAAATTTAAGATTAAAACAGTAGTCAAACATAAAATACATTAATTTTGATTAAGACTTTCATTTGTGTTTTCTTACAGCATATGAACAATGCTTTTATAATTAAAAACATTTATCATAGCTAAGAAAAACTTGTATTAAATTTAACAATAAATATGTGTATAAATATAGTTTCAAAAGTCTTTGTTTTATTACTTTGGATACGGGTGTAAAACAACAAACTTTTAGTATATTAAATATTTTTGTTTGACAAATGTTTTTGTACTTTAAAACGGTTATACTG